ATTTCTCCTTTTACACCATTTTTCATCGTAGTTTCTGAACTACGATTGCTCTGACTTCCTATACAGGATACGTATGCATAAGATTGCGATAATCCTAGCGAGCTACCTTTTTTGTTTTTCTACCTTTTTCTTTTTCTACCTTTTTCTCTTTACCCAACCTTTACCCTTTAGCAAACAATTTTAGCAATGACACAAATATTTTAAGAGGTTCCTGTAGAGTACTATAGATGGTTAGGGTGCTAGTACCTTCCCTTAGTAAAACCAAACCCCGTACCTTTGATCTGTCTTTTGTTTAGCTTTAGGCCTTACTTTTTTCTTTTCATTTTATTTATGGGTTATTCTTTCTTTTCCCCTTTCCCTCGGAAAAATTAAAGATCAGTGGTGATATTTTATGATTTGTGATTCATGTTAATTCAATAGCTTGATATCTGATTCTCACCGCAACAAGTATGTTAGCCCAAACAATCTTTTATTTGTTAGGTATATTGTTAAAAGTCTTTTACTTAGTGTTCGAGCATTTGAAGTCTCTTGCTTGTATGCGTGAGCATAGAAGCTTCTTGCTTGTGTGCTTGAGCATTGTGAGTTTCGTGCTTGTGCACTTGAGCATATAAGTCTCTTACTTTGTGGTTGAGCATTGGAAGTCTCTTGCTTGTGTGCTTGCTAAAAGTGTAATCTTGTGTGATTATATTGAAAATCTCTTGTAAATACAATGAGACTTAACTACTCTCTAATTGTGAGAGGAAACAGGATAACTTTGTGTGTCTCCTTCTTTCTTTCATTCCCTATCTGCCACCTATCACTTACCTCTGATTCATATTATATATTTTGTGTTTAGAATCTGACTAGAGATTTAAAAAGAAACAAAAAGTCTAACACAATTCAATCCCCCTTATTGTGTTTTTTTCACCTTAGGGGGGGATGGGGGTTAAAATTCACAATTAATTTTAGAGTTTTATTACTTAAGCAAAAAATCGTGTTAGTATTTTTATGATTTGGGTAAATTGAGCACCAAAACTTAAGATAGTAATGTAAACTGTAAAAATAAAGAGATAAGGGATTAAAGAGATTGCATAACTGATTTATCTAGGTTTGACCGAACGTTGACCTACTTTTGTCCCCAAGAGATTTTCTTGAGATTCTGAATATAAAATTTTAGCTTTTACAGGTTATGTCCACAAACCTTAGTACAATTCGATCTTGAGGTTTACAGGTTTATCCCTAACCAAAATGAGAGCTTTTATCCATCATAAGCTAACAAACCTTTTAGAGATTTTTCAAGCTTATCTCAATAACCAAACAAAACTTTTTCTTGAAAAGTTCTAAAAACCAAAACAAAGATTTTATGACTAGTTTATCTCAGGAACCAAACTCAATTTCCCAAGAGTAGCACATTCTTTAAAATTATAACAACTACACGACCAATACATTTTCTTCCTCACAAGCAGTGTTTCACTCAAAAGCACCAAGACAACTTAAGTGAAAAAAATTATATTTAGAGAGAGAAATATAAAACATAGAGAGATAAATTCTTAAAAAAATAAAAAGATTTGGAGATTGATGGGTAATGGAGAGAATACAAACCTCCTTTATATAGGGGAATGAATATTCAAAAAAGAAAAAGATCCATGGGAGAAATTAAAGTCCCAATCGATTGGATTTGTTCAAGCCTATTTAGGAAAGTTTGTATGGAGAGCCATTGACAGTCATTAAGACATTGTCATAATCAATTGGTTAATTATTTAGGTCTCATCTATTCGATTGGATTAATGTCCCAATCGATTGGATAGTTCAAAAAAGTATTTCCAATTGATTGGCTTCACGCCCCAATCGATTGAGTAGTTAAAAAAGACATTTAAAAGAAAGTAGACAATTTCCTAATTAAATAGCTCGACCTTGAAAATGTTTTAAAGAGATAAAAGTGGTTCAATTTTTTTTAAGTGTGTGTGTCAGTTGCCTTAGTAATTAGGATTTACTTCCTTACTTTTACAAAATTCTGGTCACTCGGATAGACATGACCTGACGAACTTTCACACTTTCTCTCTTTCATAACTTTGAGATTTCCGAGATTCTATGCCCAACACCTCAATCATATAAGAACTTTAATAGAATCTTGAGTGTATTTTCTTGATAAGATTTGAGATGTTTTTCAGTTGGGTTACCATCATCAGAGAGTTGAAAAGCTATTGCCATCGACTTCAAGAACCATTGGTGTGTCGTCATTAAAGCTTCAGACAAGATCTTTTTGCAGGATGATCAACTTTATACCCACAAGCACATAGATCCACAAGGGTGTCTCCCTCCTTTTTGCTAACAACCATCCGCTTGATGATCTCCCTCCTCCAGTGTTCCGGTCGACCTTAAATATCTACTTTGGATGTAAGAACACTCACGACTCTGTCCTTTAAGAAAGATGCCTCATTGGATTGAGTAACATGAGTGTTGTATATAAACTATTCTTAACCTCGATTCCCAAGCAAAGTGAGACTATTTTGGCTAGTCCGGAACAACTGTCCCCTAGTAGAGGCTAGGGGACACGATGGAAACTTCAAGTTCTCATGAACAACGCTCCTTTATATATGGGAAGGAAAATTCAAAAAATCAAAAAATCGATGGGCGAAATTAAAGTCCCAATCTATTGGATTTGTTCAATCCCATTTAGGAAAGTTTGGAGCGAGAGCCATTGACAGTCATTAAGACACTGTCATAATCAATTGGCTAATCATTTAGGTCTCTTCTAATCGATTGGATTAATGTCCCAATCGGTTGGGTAGTTCAAAAAAGTATTTTCAATCAATTGAGTAGTTTAAAAAGGCCTTTAAAAGAAAGTATAAGATTTTCTAATCAGTTAGCTTGACCTTGAAAATATATTAAAGGGATAAAAAAAGGCTCAAAATATTTTTAAGTGTGTGTGTGTGTGTGTCAGTTGCAGTAATTAAAAGTTACTTTCATACTTTTACAAAATTCTGGTAACTCAGATAGACATGACCTGACGAACTTTCATACTTTCTCTCTTTCACAACTCAGAGGCTTCCGAGATTCTATGCTCGATATCTCGATCATATAAGCACTTCAATAGAATCTTAAGTCTATTTTCTTGATGATGTTTTCCAAATGAGTCACCATCATCAAAGAGTTGAAAAGCTATTGCCACCGATTTCAAGAACCATTGATGTTGTCCTCATCAAAACTTCAGAAAATATTTTTTTGTGTGAAATGATCAACTTTATACCCACAAACACATAGATCCACAGAGGTGTCTCCCTCCTTTTTGCTAACGACCATCCGCTCGCCGATCTCCCTCCTTCAGTGTTCCGATCGACCTTAAATCTCCACTTTGGATGTGAGTACACTCACAACTCTGTCCTTTAAGAAAGATGCCTCATTGGATTGAAGAGTATGAGTGTTGTATATAAACTACTCTTAACCTCGATTCTCAAGAAAAGTCAGACTATTTTGGCCAGTACAAAACATCTGCCTCCTAGTCGAGGTTATGAGACACGATGAAAACTTCAAGTTCTTATAGGCGGGCGGTACCAATGTTCTGGTCGACCTCAAGTCCGCGCCACTCCATTTATGAGATATTGTCCAGTTTTGATGTGAAAATTTTTCCTGTCTTTTAAAAAATACATCTTTTTAGATTGAGATGTAGGAATGTTGTATATAAATAACTGTTTAGTTAAATTCTTAAATAATTGGAAACTATTAGGTCAAAGAAATCCAAAACTATAATATCATATTAAAACTCCTAATAAAAAAATATTTCCACCAAAAGGATTTTTTTCCTTAAAATTGATTTTGTTACGAGCATAACGAAGACTATAACTTAAAAGATAAAAGTAGTAATGTATGCATCTTCAAATCAAACTTCTAAAGGAGAAAGAACCCAAACATGTTTAGTGCCAAGCAATCCCTAATTATATAATAAATGTCTCTCATTTTTCTAACATCGAGCGCTAAAATCGTTATTTATCACAAAGTTTTGAGTAATCTTGTTTTTAACTAGAAGACTATTATATACTCTCTCCATTTTAAAATTTCTTATCGTCTAAAATTTCTATATATAAATTAAAAAATATAGTGATATTGTCATTAATATTATATATTTATTAAATAAACATTTTTATGAATTTTATTAATGTGTTAAAAACAATATATAGAATAATAATTAAATGATAAACTAAAAAATAATAATTACTATTACATTGAAATAAAAATAACTTTTATTTTAAAACAAAATTTTTCTTTAAAAATTATAATAATTTTAAGATGGAGAGAATAATATTCGTAAAATCAGGATAGTTTTGAGGCACAACATAATTCTTATCATGAAAAAAGTACGTAATGTTTCATATCATCACCATAGTGTCCAAGGGATATTCATTTTTGATAGCAAATACATTTGGTCTAAGAATATAAATTAAATTTTTTATATAAAATTATATATATATATATATATATATATATATATATATATATATATATATATATATATATATATATATATATATATATATATATATATATATATATATATATATATATATATATATATATATATATATATATATATATATATATATATATATATATATATATATATATATATATAAACATTAACATGTGCTTAAAACACAAATGCGTAAAAATAATCCAACAAATACTTTTGTTTTTTTATTATTACTTTTATTAATTATGATTTTATTTCATCTAATAATTTCATTAACTATTAATAATAAAAATAATTTAATTAATACATTTTTTATATTTTAAATTTATTTTATTAATTATTTTAAAATATTTAGTTTATTTAATTTTTTAAATAAATAAAAAAGATTAATTACTATATATTATTGGTATAAATTTTTTAATAAATAATTAAAATAAAAATCAACCTCTTTTAAATTTTTTTTTTAATAATGCTATAATGCTTTATATAAACCAAAAGGAGAATATACAAGGGTATAGAGGACCCCAATCACAAAACAACCAAAAAACCACAACTACTTTATAAGTAATTGAGCTATATGATGCCTCATTCTAGTATTCACCCACCCTCTATTCGCAAGGGTAGAAATGACTAAATCTCTAATATCCAAAACATTCACCGTATTTCCAAAGACAGCATTGTTACGATACCTCCAAACTTCATGGATAGTTTCCGCTACAGCACTACGCAAAATGCATTTCCTCCAACCTTTACCTTTGCAATGCGTGATTAACCACTCAAGTTCCTCACGCCATTCACACGGGAAATGTTGAAACCCCAACCACACCAGGATTTGTTGCCAACAGGTTTTAAACGGTGGACAATCAAATAAAAGGTGGTCAATTGTTTCCTCCTTGTCGCAGAAATTACACCTATCGTCAGTCGTAAGACCAAGTCTTTTGAGTCGTCCCCTTGTCGAAAGTCTACGGTGGCAAGCCATCCACATAGTAAAAAGGGCTCTCGGTCTAGCAATAGTGTTGGATAACATGTGTTTCCATCCAACATCAGGATCATCCTTCTTTATTTCTCCTTCATTTCATACCAATCTTCCATGCCAATAATGATGACTCTGTGTCTAAGAACAACTTTTAGAATCCACGGCATACCCTGTTTTTCCTAGACCTGCATAATATCTGTAGTTTTGAAATAAAACACGTGGATCCATTTCACGCAAAGAGTATCCTTCTTGTTGCAAAGGTTCCATAGAAGTTTTGTTAAACAAGCCGTGTTCCAATCTGATAAGTCCAACACATCCAGACCGCCCTTCCGCCGAGGTTTACAGACACTCTTCCACGCTGTCGCACCCTAATTTTTGACCTTAAAATTCCACCTCTTTTTGCGCATTCTCTATTGTTATTTGACTTTATTTAATATTTATGCGACTAACCAATTTATGCAGACGCAATAGTATCGAGTGGAGATAGTACTCATGCTCACGATTAATCATTTATACGTAACTAACCATTCTAAACCATCTGTTCGTGTTTTTGTGGAGTTAGGTTTCTTGTTGAAAGCTCAGGAAGTCGTGAAGGCTTTGTGTGAACTTCTTATCTCCTACATGGTCCTATAGTCAGAACAAGGCCCGGTTACCCCTAAGGGATTTCTTTCCATTTTAGCGTGGTCAAAGGTTGTGACAAGTTGCATCACAAGAGCTTATCCTCATTGCCATAAGGTTCGCCAAGATTGGGATTATATCGAATAAGAGGCGTCTATTTTATGGGATGCACATGAGGGATTGCGGGAGTCAAGAGTGCTCGAATGTCATTAAGCCTTTAGGCATCTTTTTCCTTTAAATTTTGGCTTGTATCTTGAACGGTTCATTCAAGTACAAATTTAGTTGGTATCACTCAAAGATGTCGAGCATTATTTCAAACAAGGACGTTATTCAATAAATTTCACGGTAAAGTTTTATTACGAGAAGTGTGACTTCATGTGGCATATTAGTAAAGAGTTGAGATGTGGGTGGCTATTGATGGTGATCTAAGTGTGACCCTTTTTTTATATAATATATGGCGCAGTGGCTGTCGATATTACCACAGTTTGATTCGAGTGAGTAAAATGTGGGAAGGCTAAGGCTAAGTGCCAATATAAATGAGGAAGCAAAGAATAAATGACGGTCTTATTAAACGATGGAAGGAACCGTTAGTGTTTATCATAAACAACAACCAACTTTTATTCATAAATGACAGAAGTTATCATGTTTTCAACATTGGAGCATCACAAATATAAACAAGTCTTGCAAAAAGGAGCTGGAGGTGTCATTGTTGGCACACTAGAATTATTGATGCAATCGAGAACACGAGTAACCGTATGCTTGAATAAGCTCTTGGCTAGGTAGTCCAGAAAATTCCGCCAAATGAAACGCACGTTGCTACGATGCTTGGTTTACCTTACAACAATTACCTACATTTGAACAAATAATAAGGATTCAGTAACTGTAATAAGTGATGTTAGGCAATATCAAAAAACTTCTGCATACCGGCAACGACGGTACGACCAAGTCCAATTCAAGCCGTCATCACTTTCAGCAGCAAGAATCATGTACCAAGCTCAGAACATAGTTTTTCACCGGGAAAATCAAAACAAAATAAGGGAACTTTCCATGACGAAAACCGCTATGGGACGTGCATAGAGATTACAACAATATCAAGTCCTTATTACAACCATCTTCGTAAATCACATAAACTGCTGAAATTATCTCAATCCATAACAGTAGTGTTCCACCCTGCCACTAAACAAAATGTGACGCTTGCGTTGTTGGCCTCGAAGCAACTCGCGTACGGAAGCCCCTCATTATCCACATCCAGCTGCTGCAGACAATTGTTAAAACAAGATCAGTACTGACACCAATAACCATTCATTCTCAAGACATATTCCAGCAAGAAGTAATAGCTTGCTTACCGATAAATATGAGATGTCGTACGGGAACAAATAACACTATGAATGTCCTGGTGAGTGCAAGTGAAAACTTTGTCCTCTGATGTTTCTCTTGCACCTATGAATTCAAACACCCAATTTCCCTCTATACCATTAGTCTGAGAGGGTGTACATCATCAAACACAACAAAGTCTATGGACATCACATCTAATTCAAGTGGCAGCTTCAGAATTTGTCATATGGGTTGTTCTCTCTTGACTTTGATTAAAAATGATCTAAATGAACATTATAACTTAACCAAACCCAATCACAGCCTCAAGCACAGCCTCAGGTTCAAGGACTGTCTCAACCAGTTTCACATGCAGCTCCACAATCTCAAAATCACATGCAAATCCCTCCAATCACCCGCTGCAACAAAATCACCAATAATATGATATCAGGGTCATCTCTCCAAGCAACTCCAGAGGATTGTTGCCAAGTATACATGAAATCTACAAATCCTCAAAATCTACATAATTAATGAAAACAAGGAAGGTCAGTTGGGAACATCAAGTTTTCTTGCAGAACAGCAAGGTCTAAGGCAATAAATAGGAAATGAGACACATCAACTAAAAAAGAGGGAAGTAACCAAGGAATCTGAGGATGTTCCAAACAATCTACCTTTTATCATTTCCGGCTTTCAAACTTCTTCATCAGCTCCCATCTAGAATCAAAACATCTGTGATACTTGCCAATAGCTTCAACTTCCGCCAACGCGACTCGAACGTCTTCACAACCTGCATTCACAATAAAATTGAATTATCGGTCAAACTTAGAGCGTATCTTCCAACAACATAAGAAAAATCGGAAATCGCGGCCATTAGAACAAGCGTAAAAGTTCAAGACAATGCATAGTTACGACCTTCAAGATCACCCACATCAAGACTAGGCAGCCGCTGATGCTCTGTGACAGTTTTGGTGACCGGACCACTAGTTTGAATGCTTCCTCTTCTTACCTGAGTAAAATTGGAATCAAGTCATAACAGGGCGTTCAAAGAAGAATTAAATTGAGTCAACTATCACCATTAGCCTTTATTACAAATGAGCAAGAGAATCAAGGAAAACCATTCAAGACATTAAGAATAAGTCACAGACCTGGGACCTTCTAGAAGAATGAGCAAGATCGCTTCAGCTTTGGAGAATCCCTATGTCACCATTTTAGTACAATTTCATAAGAAGTTTGTCTAAAAAGAAACCAGGATGAACCATCGCATCATATGAATCGAATCCTACCTGTTAAGAGGAAACAAGAAGACCCTGTCAAAGATAATTGAAAGATGGCCAGTTTTTCCTTCAAACAATCAATTCTGCAATACCGTTATGATAGGTCTTTGGCACCAATCGAAACCTCACGGTGTGGTTTTCTCTTCATTATGCTAATTAGACCAAGAGATTGATTCTGCTTCCTCTTATGCTACCTGATTGGTTTTCTGCTTCCTCCGAGAGATTGATTCTGCTTCCAGAAAGTCGGCAATTGCTGATGATATTAAGGTCCTGCGAACAACAAGTCCATTTCAGAAATAAGTTTGAGACAGTTTGTTCTTCTCCCAAAAAACGCTACAAAAAGCCGAGTTAATCGATTTAATTCCAAATACACATGATTAGATTAATATAGAAATATATTCATGTGTCTAGAAGATATCAGAGCATGATCAAATTGGAAGAAAAATATCCTCACCAACTATTTCCAAAAGCTGCGATTTGCTAAAGGAGAAAATGGGAACAGCTCACAAACATATTTTGGCCAAAACATAAGTGATTTTATTGCCATTGAAAACACGTTCATGTTGGTTTTATTCCTTTCCCCAAACAGTCCACACAATCCGTCGGATTTGGAAACCTCATTATTCTTCTTCAATTCACCATATTCCTGGCAACCCTATATAAGAGGATTTCAAACGAAAAAACAAAGGCATCAGGTCCACGAAAGTCACATACATTCACAACAATCCTCAGAAACCCTCACAAAAATCCCCGATTCGAAACCCTATAAATTAAAGGTAGAGAGGAAGACTTATCTAGCTCAGAGTCCGTCGCCGGAACCACCACGAGGCCCTTGCCATGAACCGCCGCTTCGCTTAACCGGCGAATCTCCGGAAGCCCATTTGCCATCGCCATTGAAATTTGTAAAGATAATTTCAACCGTGAGATCCTTTCTTACTAACGTTAATCTGTTGAATTTTGTTGTTTGCTTTTGCAGGAAATCGAGGAAGATGAAAGAGGTATGAAGAAGGGGGGATTGAAGCGAATCGAGAGGAAGAAGAAGAATGCGACGGAGGAAAATCGGAGAGGGAAAGACGAACGGAGAAGACAAAGAGAGTGAGATCGAGAGAGGCGATAGTCGCAACAAGGAAGAACACGACGGAGGTGGAAGGGCATGAGAGCGAGAGAGAGACGAAATCGAAGAGTTGGGGGAATCGATTGGGGATTAGGGTTAGGGTTTCCTGTTTTCCTGTTTGTGCTGTATTTTAATGTAATATGGTCATTTGCGCGCACACACACACACACACACCGTAGTTACAATGAACCTCACACTATTATCATACAATCTCCGACGGATCATCGTCGTACGCACCACAACACTCCACAACGTGCACCCTCGCCAGTAAAACTCACAGGACTGCGCCCCACTTATACTAATCCCAGTTAACTAACATTAATCCACCCTTTAATTAACTTTAAATTTAATTAATTATTTCCTTAATTATTTAATTAATAATTTTTCTGAAAACATAAAACCTGTTTAATTCTAAATAACATATTCCAACCTTTTAGTATTTCCTTAATTAACTTAATTCTTTTTAATAAAATTAATCATAATCTTTTTATGCACAAATAATAATAATAGACCTTTTAATTTTAAAATCAACTTTCATCTTTTTTATAATAATTAAGAGTTCCCTTTTAATAACTTTTATATAATAAAAACCCTTTTCATAATTAATAATTAAGCAACTATTCTATTTTTTTATAAAAAAAACTCACTCATGGCAATCCTTTTATAAAATAATAATCTTTTATAATAATCTTTATATTTATAATAAAGCAAATAAAACAATTTAACTATTTTAATAGAAATCCCTTTTATATAAAAAAAATCTACTTTAACTTAACTTTTAAAATCTATTTAGTAATAATTAAAAACTCTTTTCTTAACTTAATTTAACCTTTTATAATAACAATTTTTATTTGAGGATAAACCTTTTCATTTATATTTAATTTTATTTAATAAGATAAAAATGGAACCTCTTAGATATTTAGATCCTTTTTCAAATTACACTCTAAAATTCAATTAACTGTCTAACTTTCTATTATAACACAAAGCTAATATAATCAAATACAACCTTTTTTTTTTACTAAAATCAATTTCACACATAAAATCGAATAACCTCGCCTAAAACAATCAACACCGTAACTCAATCGTGCACGCTCCCGTGTCCACACATTTACAATTCACACTTTCACACACTTAGCGCTTTCATGCGTGTGTATGTTTTATCTTTACTCGCAATTTATCTTCCGCAATTTACATTATCGCAATTTATATTCTCGCATCGCATTCCGTCCAAAGGAAAAACTTACACATGAGTCAACACTTGTGTGTAGTGCACATCATTTGCATCATTCTCCCCTACGATCCTTGATCCCATTAAAGTTGATCTTTCTAAGTTAGATCCTACCCCATAGGAAGAACCATTATCTTTGCAACTTAGACAAACACAAACAAAACAATTCAAACAATATTCAAACACATTAGAGATAGATGTTAATCATCTTAAGCGAGATAGAATCTCCACCCCACATCAATACAATCAATATGTAGGGACTTTGCCTTAAGAGAGATAAAGGCGTACTCATCGATCAATATCCGAGTGCTTGAGCCCTTCTCTTAAGACGATGCAAAGACTATTTTCCTACAACTTGTGGCGGTTAAATCTCCCTTAAAATGATAACTCATCATTTCTCCTAAAAATCAATCAATCAACTACCCTAAACCCGTAGGAACTTTGACCACAGTCAAAGAACTCCTCAAACCCTTTAGGAGAACTAAAGATACTCTGATTCCACTCCCGTAAGGATATGTAGGCATAAGATGCGACATCTTATCGAGTATGCTTAGAAATAAACCCCTAGGTCTTTCAACCATTAAGCAGATAAACACATAGCAATAAACAAACATAAAACAAGAGGTTTCTGTAGAGTACTACAGAAACTTAGGATGCTAGCACCTTCCCTAAGTTTAACCGACCCCCGAACCTATAACTCTCTAGCTTGCATTTGCATTGCATTGTGGGAATTTCGATCTTTATCCCTTCCTTTGGACAAATCAAAGTTCGGTTGCAAAATGAATTAAAGATTCAAACTAATCAATAGTTTGGTATCCAAATTTCACCGCGACACACGCAATTGGGGATTTTCTCGATTTCACATCGCTACCTGTCCACAGGAAAGTCCTGCAAATAGACTTAATGGTTTTGATCACATGCTTGGGGAAAGGGAGGCAGCTCATCCAGTATGCTACAATAGCAGTAATGGTACTATTAATCAGTTGAAGTCTTCCTGCATAACTCAGTAATTTAGAGCTCCAATGACGAATCCGGCTTACAATTTTGTCCACCAAACTCATATAATGATGCGTTGAAAGCCTTTTACACGTGAGAGGAACTCCCAGGTAACGAAAAGGTAAATCCCCTTCCTTAAATGAGGTAGAAGCCAAGATGTCATTTTTGGTCTCACTTTCCACACCCCCGAAGTACACCCTACACTTCGCAGGGTTAACTACTAAGCTAGTGGACTGGGAGAATGTTTGCAGGTGATTCATAAGTAACTGCACAGACTTGCTATCCCCACAGGTAAAGAGGAGGACATCATCCGCAAAACTAATATCAATGATTTGCAACTTTTCGCATTTCGCATGGAAGTTGTAGTCAGGAACTTTGCTTAACTGGTGTAGGAGCCTGTGAAAGTATTCCATAGTTAGAACAAAAAGAAGGGGAGAAATAGGGTCACCTTGTCTAAGACCCGTTTTAGCCTTCATGCTTCTAGTAATTCTGCCAGCAACATTGAACTTGTAAGATACTGTAGTAACCACCAGCATAATCCAATTGGTGAATTTGTGAGGGAAGCCAAATTCCTTGAGAATATACTCTAGAGCATACTAGTCCAGGGTATCATAGGCTTTCTGGATGTCCAGCTGCAACAAACATCTCGGAGTACCGCCTTTTCTGTTGTAGCTTGGATTAGCTCGTACGCTAATAAAATATGATCATGGATGTTCTATCCAGGGATGAAGGCAGCCTGGCTCTGACTGATAATACTGGTAAGAACCTTGCTTAATCTTTCGGTCAAGATTTTTGATATGATTTTGTAGAGCGTAGTACAACAGTATATCGGTCTAAAGTCCTTCACACAATTACCACCATTACCTTTAGGAATCAAGGATACAAGAGTATAATTAACAACAGGGTACATGTTGAAGTTGTCGAAAAAAATCCATAAATGCAGCAATGGTATCTTTTTTAATGATGCTCCATGAAGCTTTGAAAAATTTTGCCCCAAAACCATCCACACCAGGGGCTTTCAGGTCACCAATGTCATGTAGGGCACTATAAATTTCTGCTTCAGTGGGGGGACAAACCAACACATCTTTCTGTACACTAGCAATGTGAGGACCAACTCTCATAGCAGTCAAGTTTATACCTTCCATGTTATTATTAGGACTACCCATGAGGCTGCCATAGAACGACAACACCTCATTCTCAATGTCCTCAGCCTCTCTAAGGATTTCACGTGTCACAGAACACATCTCAGTAATGGCACTGCTGTTTTGTCTAGCTTTTACCTGGGCATGAAAAAACCTGTTGTTGCCATCTCCCAATCTGAGCCAGCTGATTTTAGCTCTCTACCTAAGCACTTGTTCCTCAATTTCACTCCAGTAAAAAACCTCAGTTGATCTGGTTTTAACAAGGTGGATAATTTCAGGATTATCAAAGTCCCCCCTGAGCTTCAGTTGGGCCTCCTGTAACTTTTGTCTTGCATTCTTGAGGGCAGCAGTGGCACCCAACAAAGGTTTACTAATTTTCTGCACAACATTTTGGCATCTAAGCAGTTTCCTCCACATTACATACATGGGATTACCCTAGATAGGGACATTCTAGCTATTAGCAATGTGTTCTTGAAATCCCTCAACCTCAGTAGAACAGTTAAGGAACTTGAACTGAGGTGTTCTATTCAAAGTATTATCAGGGCTAGACAGCAGTAGAAGCGCATGATCAGAGATGCCAGGGGTAAGGATTTTTAGGCACATGCTGATGTACTTTTGAAACCACTCAGTGTTAGCCAGTCCGTGGTCAATCCTAGAGTGAATGATGTTGTCACCTTGCCGATTGGACAATGTGTAATAATCTCCAAGCGTATCCATTTCACTAAGGTTACAATGGTTCATCATGTCAGTTAAATCTTTATACTCTTTCATCTGCACCATGGATCCTCCTCTTCTGTCAATAGTCTGAACAACATTGTTAAAATCGCCAATAAGAAACCATGGCCCTTGTTGGTTTTGGTTAATGTGTTCAATATCTCTCCACAAATTCTTACGATAGTCCATTTTATTTGCGCCATACACTGCTGTAAGCCAGAATTGATACATACCTTGCATATCATAGACACCATAATGACGTAGTTGCCCAGTGCTAGTGACTTTCCTGATTTCAATCTTAGCACTGTTCCACCATATCCAAATTCTACCATTAGCATGATCAACATAGTTATCCATAAACGAGCCTTTAAGCTTCATCTTGCACCTAATAGTATCAGCCTTATCTTGCTTCACTCGAGTCTCAAGCAAAATACAAATCATTGGGTTAAGAGAACGGAGGCGGGATCTAACCTCTTTAGTCTTAACCATTTTATTCAGGCCCCTCACATTCCAGGACACTAACATGGATTAGTGTTTTGGCTGCTTCCAGGGTCATTCACAATCCCCGGCAGCCCAAACCCATTGGATAGTCTCATCCTCATTTGTACTACCTATGATTTTCCTTTTGCTGTTGCTAATGATCGGTGTCCAACCCTCATCATTCTGTTGGATATCATTACTAGTATCCTCTGCTGCTATTGTTCCACTTGAACTGGCCTTGGATTGCACCCTTTCCTTTTGTGTCTGCTCTTTCACCTTCTCCTTCCATTCTTTAGCAGGCTTAGAAGGCTTATCACAGTTATGACCAACCTTATGGCAACGTTGGCAGTAAAGAGGTTTCCACTTATATTCAATCGGCTGTTGCAGTCATGCACCTTTTTCATCTCTTATTAGAATGTGTGTCTTTAGCTCTTGTGTGATGTCAATTTCCACCAGGATACGAGCATATGAAACCCTGGGCTTGTTTGCCGTGCATTCATCTGTAACCAGCGGTGTTCCTAGTGCACTGCCTATTTTACTCAGGCTTCGCTCGCCCCACAGATGTAGAGGTAGCTGAGGTAGTTTCACCCACAACAGAACTGTTCTAAGCATATCCTTGTTCATACTGAAATTAGGTTTGCACTCACGCAACATCATTTGTCTATTGCGGATTGAGTACGACCCCTTCATTAAAACTAGGTCTTTGTCTTGGAATGAGTGGAATCTAAGGATGAAGAATCCTTCCTCGTTATAGAACATATCAGGTAGCTTCACAAAATTTCAGCTCTTGCTCATGAACTGTTTCACCGCATTCATGCTGAGGTCCACTCCCAAGGCATACATGATGAGGGCAGACTCCCAAAATTTGACTTCCTTTTCAACATCTTCCTCTTCAATTTGGATTTCCATTTCTCCATCAATAATCTTTGGTGCAACGAATTCCATGGTGAGACCCTTTGCCGGATTACGATTCTCATTGATGACGTCGACCCATAGCTTCTTCGTCTGGCTAGTTTCCCCCTCCATTCTTACTTCAGTGCTTTGATGACCTAGATTTTCTGTATCAGGAACAATTTCTACGTTCTCCTCCGCCAAACTTCCATTTTCCTCTGAGTCATTTCGCACTGCATCGTCCACAATAGTTTCCTTTTCCGTGGCTTGCTGATCAGAGATGACCGCCGTAGAATTGATTGTTGACAGTGGCACCAAACGTGGCCGCCCTCGTCCTCTCCCTCTCCCACGACCCATTCCGAACACAAAATTATGATTTTGATACCTCTTTTAAATATTAAACATCAAATAACTATGATTAACTAATAATATTTTAAATAAAATAGTTCAATTTATATATAATAGTTGAGTTAATAAATATAATTGTTTATATTAATTATTCAAATAAATGTTTAAAAAAAAATACAGAATTCAAATAAAATATCCAATGAAACGGATAAAGTAACTTTACGAAAAACCCATAAACAATCAGCTAGAGTTTCCCAAAAGATGACAAATTATAAAACGTCACAGTTTTACCATATTCTCCCGACATCTTCGTAAAAAAGAACAAAAATAATTGAAAATGGTAAGAAACAATTAAAAATAAATAATAAATATAAATCAATTAAATAAAAAAAATCATGATTACTCTGACATTGTACATACATGTTCACGTCTCCTTGGTTCTTTTATAGCCACAAACGTAGACCGACTTAGGCGCACGTTAGTCTCCATTATCCATTTTCTACTAAACTACGCATCTTCGGCTACCGAAGGCTCTATCACCCACTTGCTTCTTCCTCTAGAAGAAAGTTGAAACCTTCTCTGCCACCAAATCTCTCTCTCTCTCTCTCTCTCTCTCTCTCTCTCTCTCTCTCTCTCTCAAATGGCATGTTTGAGGCCTACCCTCTCTCAAATTTCCCTTTCCCAATCCAATTTTCCCAGAAATTCTACATGGAATAATCCTCAACACTGTTTTTTCCACAAAAGGATGCAAAATTTCAACACTTCTAAATCTTCTACCTCTTTCAGGGTCTGCTCTAGTTCTAAAGATACACAGAACCAAAACAATGGCAAGTTTTTTGTGTTGTGTTTTTATTTTCTACTAGTTTCATCTAGTGAAAAGAAATAGAGTTTCTTTAGAATAGTAATGGTTTTTCATGAATAACAATTATTGTTCATTCATTATAAATAATTAAGAAAATTAACCAAACTTTCTAGCCTTGTATGTATGAATGTATGATGATGGATTATACAGCAAACATTTGCTAGTTTTTATTTTATTTTATATGTATTGGTCTTGATTGGCACTTGATAGAAATACTCATGAGATGTAGCTTGATGAGTTCATATATTATTTGCATGGTGTTCTGCTCTGGAACGGTTTTATGATCGGAGTGGATGAATTCGTTGTTCGCTGTGGTGGTTCAAGGCTTCTGATGCGGTGTGGTGGAGAGAGGATTGACCTGCAAAGTTAGCACTAAGTTAGTTAAGTTAGTTTAGTAAGAGAATGAAATTAGAATTTGAATGGGAATGAATGATTTCTTCAGAGTGACACACTCTCCTCTTTAGATAGGATAGATGATTGGTAATTGCACATGTGTGGGATGCGGCTAATTGTTTAATTGATTTTGGAATATTATCATGGTAACTTCGATGCGGAGGGAAATTGGGGTAGCATACGCTTCATGCGATAACCGCCTATTTTGCTACTGGGCTTTATCTATAGGGCCTTGTGGCCGGCCCAGAACAAATGGTATCTTCTCAAGAGAAAACACTTAGGCCTTTATAATTTGGCACTTCATGTGTTGATTACTAAGAAAAAGTGTATGCTATTGTGTTTTGGCAAGATACTAGATAAGTTAGGGAGGTAGCTTAGATTTGAAACCCAGAAATGACAGAGACACGTCGGCACTAATTATAATTTGAGAAGTGAAATGTTTGAATGTAACCGCCGATATGTTGGTGTTGTGTCCATGTTAGACACTGAAACGACACAACTTTGATTTAAAATTTCTGTGCTACATGTAAGTGATTAAATAGACTGGTAATATCGAATGACTAACTTTGCCTTTTGGTGGCTTCAAACCACTACTATATTGTATTGATTTTCAGGAGAAGAGCCTCCGGAGTCATTATTTATGAAGGAATTGAAGAGGAGAGGTATGAATCCTACATCATTGCTTGAGGATTACAAGCAACCCAACTATGGACTTGATGAAGAGGCTTTTGTGAATGAAGAAGATAAAAGTTTCCCGAAGAGAAAAACAGTGTCAACCAATATTGAGAGAGGTCTAGAAAATCAAAGGGAGCGGTCTATGGCGCTGAACAGTGAAGGTCTTGAGGTTGATTCCTTGTTGACTTTGCTTCAATATTATATAAAAAATCATTGATTTGGTTTCAAAGGTTTTGTTGCAAGTATTTTGTTTACATTAGTCTTTCATGTGTTGCATTGTCTGTCCTGCCTTTCTTAGGTTGTTTGGATGATTTCGTAAGTTTAATTCTAATGAACGTTATTTCTCGTGTCTTCATAAATATCTTTGCCTAGAGAATGGTTTGAAGTGTTTTATATGCTTTCTAATAAAGTATGTACCCTATCTGCTGTGTAGTAAATAATTCTTCTTCATGACTTGAGAGAGTAGTATGCTGTTGAAACTTAGAAGTTCTCCGTTCTCAATTATCATAATAGAAATAAAGCTTCAAGGTTTCTTATGATCCATGCAGCAATTTTTTAGTACTAAAAATTTCAAGAAGTGTGAATATGAGCATTGGTTGTTTAGAGAAAACAATCAGCTGCCACTCTGGTCTGTTGTAGTCTATGAAGCACATACACAAACACCATACATTGACACGTCGTCGACAATGGTAATAATTTGAAAAAATGAATAAATTAAAGGTAGTCATAAGTGTCGGTGTCCGTGTCCGACACTGACACGGACATGTACACGCCTTTTTTCAGAAATAGAGGTGTTAGTGCTATTATAGTAATACTAACAGATATGATGCTCTGAGAAATTACGTGATGACAATAGTATGCATTGACCTTTACCTTTTTATATGTTTTGCTTGAACCTAACTGCCGAAAAGGGTTCCTATCCTGATTTATTGATTTATCTTCCACTGATGCTTGTGCATTTGGAGGTGGTTTACTTGTTAGACTCTTGACAACTGTCACTCCGCATTCGCCAGCTCTTAAGCTACTGAATGTGAATTACAGTGAGTAGCAAGCAAGTGAACAGGTAGTAACATAGTTTGCAAGAAACTAGTCAGCATGAAAAGTGGCCTTTCCGCCGCAAAAGAAAATGCTGTTCATCAACACTGCTAGGGTCATTATTTGGCTTTTAGAAGTGTCGCCTAATCATAAATTGTATAATTTTGTAATTAAGATTTAATTTTAATGCCTTATTTTGAACTTCTTTTTTGAACGACATTCATTAGAAATCACTCATGTATTTCTACATTTCAGGGCTTGGTGCCTCGAGCTAAACTTCTATTGACACTCGGGGGAACATTCTTCTTAGCATTTGGACCGTTGATCCTCATAACCGTGGCACTCTTTTCTGCTCTTTACTTCGTAAGATCTTTTGCTTTCAACTAATGCACTTTTCAACTAATGCGAAGTGCAGTGTTTCATGATCTTTGCTATATCTTATATGAAATCTTGACATGAAATATGTTGTTTTTCGCGTTGAACATTGATGCATTGAGCATGTTTTGTTGCAGTATTTTGGACCGAGTTTTGTTCACGACGGAAGCAAGATGTCGCTATCACCTCCACAATACGTGGACCCTTACGCACTCTTAGAAGATGAAAGAATATCTCAGATCGCGCCTCGGCTAAATTAAAGGCAACATTATTACAAGTACTTTACTATTAGAAACCTAGTAGTTACATCACATATATTGAATTTCAGTTTACTTGGCTTTGTTGGTTTAGTTCATTTGTAAAATATCATCCAAGGTGAAGTTGTTATCTATTTTGCAGCCATCATGACACAATTCTTTACATGTGTCTTCTGCATTTTGCATATATGTTGTGTATAGTTTATTTAAATCTAAATGAAAGCCTTATTAGAAGTAGCACTGCTCTTAATGTTTTTATTTTTCAGTTTGAAGTTAAATTTGTTTGAATTGTGTGAAAATAGTGTCAAAAGAGTTCTGAGTTACATTCCAAAAGCTAGTTCATGAGATGAGGTTGTTCAACCACATATATACACATAAAACAATTTAGATTTTTGAATAATGTAAGACTTTAATATTCTCTTACCCCTTGTGCAGGTCTTTCTTATTTTCACATTGTCATTCTTAAATTAGAAATTCATAAGTGGTGGAAGCCTAGATATAGAGAATTGAGTTTTGAGAGTGTGCTCCTCTCAGAGTTTCAGATTTGAATTTTATTAGGCGCAATTAATCTTTGCGTTGAGTTAGTTTATACAGAGTTTTGTTCTGACTTTAAATGGTACTCGTGCTAGTAGACGATGGGATTGGTCCCCTTCAGTTAATCAGTCATAAGGCCGGATATCAAAATTTAAAAAAAATATATTCAGAAGTGCTAACTTGAGTTTGGTTTTACCTTTTTTAGTGTTTTTTTTTTTAAAATTTGTTTTTTCTAAATTAATTTTTTTTTATATTTTATAACATAAACATATATTGAAATTATAGTTGTATTTTAAAAATTATTTGAAAAATTTTAAAATTAAGTAATTTTTTAAAATTTTAATTTTAAATTTTTTTCAATAAGATGTTAAATATTTAAAAAATAATTATGTAAATCAAAATTTTATTTTATTATTAAATTTTTTATTATATATATATATATATATATATATATATATATATATATATATATATATATATATATATATATATATATATATATATATATATATATATATATATATATATATATATATATATATATATATATATATATATATATATATATATATATATATATATTACTTTTCACCCGTCTAAAGTAAGAACCGTGGTAAAGACATTTCAACACGATTTCTTCTATGAACTATGGTGAAATTTTTTATCTATATAAATAAAAATTTCGTTCACTTCAAAACAAACTGAATCTTATGGAGTTCTAATTTCTCATGCCTTGTTTCAATTTCACAAAACTATGACATATCTCACAAAATTGCAACATAACTTCTCTAACTAGTATGGGTCAAAGAAATCTGTTACGAATCTTTGTAAGATGGAAACACGGACTCATTTCTCTGTCTTCCTCTTCACATTTTATTAGAGTTTGAGTTAAATCATTCTTACAAAATTTACTTGTAAGGTGAGGTATTCACTCTATATAAACCTTGTGTCTAACTAATGTGGGACTTATGATCTTTTTAATGCACCTCCATATCGTATCTAACCAATGTGGCATTTATGATCTTTCTAATGCACCCCACATGCCTAATACTTTTTTGGATTTGGTGTATGGATATTAATGGTGGACGATCCATGGTCCGATCGATAAGCTCTGATAGCCTATAAGAGTTTGATCTAACTCATCCTTACAAAACTGACTTGTAAAGCGAGAGATGCCACTATATATAAACTATTTTTAAACTCTATGTTTAACCAATATGGAACTTAAGATCTTTCTAATACATTTACAGTATGTACAAGAAATATTTTTCACCTTTCTTATTTCTATTGAGTTAATAAGAGGTTTAAAGTTAATGTTGTTATTGCTGTTGTTGTTGTTGTTGTTGTTGTTGTTGTTGTTGTTGTTGTTGTTGTTGTTGTTGTTGTTGTTGTTGTTGTTAAGAAGAGATTAAATGTTTGATGTTGTTGTATTTGTTGAGATAAATAAATAATTTGTGTTATTGTTGTGGTTTTTGTTAGTTAAGTTGTTGTCTTTGTTGAATTATATTGTTGTTTTTGATAGATATCTAATTCCTTGTGTCGAAGTTGAAATAATGTGATTGTATTCGACGAATGTTGAAAGGTGTTTTAGTGTGTGTCAAAATAACATGTGTCGAATAGAGTCCGTGTTAATTGTATTTGACACAAAGTTAACTATAGCTTGTCGAACCATATAGTTGTTAAAGGAGTCAATATAGTCGAAGAAAATTGACTTAGCTTAGTTTTAGTTGAGTTAGGTATTTTGTAATTATTTAGAGTGCAAGTAATCTTATCTATAAATAAAGAGGATCTCTATTTAATTTGTAAGTGTATAATACAAGTTTTATAATATAACATTGTGTAGCTTTCAAAAATCACAATTATGATTAACACACATTGTAACAAACACTTAGAGCGCAATTTGGACTGAAATACATTCTTCTTTTTCTTCCTTCAAAATTTCCCTTTTCTCTTATTTCAATGTATAGTTTTCTTCTTTTAATTCTCTATGTAGTGTAGAATCATCTTTCAACCAAGAAGTGATTCTTTCACCTGAGTAAAGGGTGAAAAATAAGAGGCGTGATCAATAAGGAAGATTGATTCTTATTCATCAATATTTATTCGGTTAACTTTAATATTGGAGTTTCGTCAACATTTGGTATCTAGAAAACTAGTTGTGTGATATTTGGGTCTTATTAAATCACAATGAATCATCCAAATGGGCATTTTCATGAGAATCTTCCAATCTTGTATGGTAATACTTATGAAATTGATGTAAACAAATGAAAGTTGTTTTCTGTTATCAAGATCTTTGGGATCTTGTGAAGAATGAAGTAGCACCAATTGAATAAAATGTTATGGATGAACAAAAGGCTGCACACAATGATCTGAAGAAGAAGGATTATAGAGCTCTCCTTTTAATCCATCAATGTGTTGATCCAAACAACTTTGAGAAAGTTGGTGATGTAGATTCAGTAAAGGAAGCATAAGACATCCTGAAAAAATCATTTGGAGGCGTTGAGGAAGGGAATGAGGTGAGGTTACAAACTGACAAAAGAATGTATGAATTGCTTCAGATGGAAGACAATAAAAGGGTGACTAATTACTTCACTAAAGTAACGAAACTGATGAATCAAATCAAAAAGTGTGGAGAAGTGTTGACATTAAAATCTATAGTGTCAAATATTTTGAGATCGTTACATCCAAAGTTAGATCAAGTGGTAGTATCTATAGAAGAATCGAAGAATTTGTCAAGTATGACAAAAGAAGAGCTTTAAGGGTCTCTTGAATCTCATGAATAAAGAATGACTGAAAGAACTACAAGCAAGTGGAAGAGTGACGTGACTTTGCAAGCTCAGTCGACTAAGAAAGGCAAAGGAAAATGAAATGGAGGCAATGGCAGAGGAAATCATCAAGAAGGTAGTTCATAAAGTCACAGACAACCTTTTAACCAAGGCAATAACAGAGGTGGCAGTGTAGGTAGAGGAAGAGGTGATGGAAGAAAATCTGATAAGTCATATTCAGTGCTACAATTATCAAAAGTATGACCATTATGCAAGTCAATGTCGAGGAGACAAGAAATATCAAGAAAGTGATACAAAGCTTCCAGAAGACGGAGTGATGCTAATGATCACAACAAAAGAATAATAAAGATTCAAATATCAATGGTATCTAGACTTAAGATGTTTGTCGCACATGACTAAAAGAAAAGATTGGTTTATCAACATCAGTCTATCGTCGAAGAACAAGGTAAAATTTGCAAATGATGATACCCTATCTATTGAAGGTATTTATGACGTTCTGATCAGGAGAAATGATGGTAAACGATTAGTAATTTCTAATGTGTCGTACATACCTGACATGAAGAGAAATCTACTAAGTATATGTCAGTTGATCGAAAGGAATTACAAAGTATTGATCAAAGATAGAATGATGAGAGTGATCAACTCGATTAATAGGTTAATCTTGAAGGCTCCTATATTTCAGAATAGAACCTTCAGAATTGAACTTAATGTGTTGGAACAAAAGTTCTTGGAGACTGCAGCTAGCAAAGATGAATGATTATGGTATTATAAACTTAGTCACTTGAATTTTAATGACATCAGTAATTCGAAGAGGAATAACATGGTTTAAGGCCCACCAGAAATCCATATTCTAGAAGAAGTATGTGAATAATGTGTTCAAGCAAAGTAACACAAGAATACCTTCATTAAGAACGTATAAAGCAAATCGAAAGTCACTCTTGAGATAATCTACTTAGACGTGTGCGGTCCTCTACATGTAGATTCACTTGGAGGTACTAAGTACTTTGTTATATTTATTGATGATTACAACAGAAAGTCGTGGACCTACTTAACCAAGAAGAAAAGTGACGTGAACAATGTTTTGACCAAGTTCAAAGCAATGGTGGAAAGACAAAGTGTTCAGAAGATTAAGGTTCTGAGGACAGATGGAGGTGAAGAGTACGTGTCAAAAGATTTCAACACACAATGTACAAAAGAAGGAATTATGCACGAGGTGGTGCCACCATACACTCCTCAACAAAATGGTACTATTGAAATAAAGAAAAAACCCATTATGAAAATGGTGAGAAGTATGTTAAAAGGAAAGCATCTCCCAAATGAACTATGGGGTGAGGATATGTCGATTGCAACATACATACTAAACAAATGTCTAACAAAGAGGCTTGAAGGTGTAACGCCTCTAACTTATTTAATTGTTTTTATTTAACTATAACATCTTATAAATTATTTGATAATTTATTTATGTGACGTTGGTGTGTTTTTGGGTGTTTTATGATGTTTTAGAGTATTCGAGGGTATTTTAATAACTTAATAATTATTAAAATATTTGGGTGAGAGCAGTATAGTTTATTTAATTATTTAAAATTAGCGATAATAATCATTTGAAGTTTATAATAATAATTATTTAACTATTTAAATATAGTGTGACACCTTATGTTAAAAATATATTTTTCTTTTAAAATCAAA